TATTATAGTAAAATTTTCTTTAGATTTAAACATCTAGCTGTTACTTGCTTATAAAAAACGAGCGAGCCTTTTAATAATCGCGTATGATGTGTAACATTTTGAAACATCACCTTATATTCGTAAAAAAAGAAATAAAACCTACTACAAAATCAATAAGCCGTTTGAACATTATGTTCTAAAATCAAATCAAATAGCGCGCGCTTCCCAAACTTCCTGTTACACACTTCCGTCCCACTTCACGTAATCACTCCCACAAATTGCACGAAAGCAAGAGGAAAGATGTTACACATCAAAAATATAAAAATATATAACTTTTTTTCTGTGTCAAAACTGTCAATTTCCAACAAAAGAGACGGATTCTAAAATCGGAAAGAAAACTGACAATTCTCAGCACCTAGTACCACTAGGTACTAGGTGTCGAATGATGGTAGAATGAATGGCCACGTTATCTATCAAAATTCATATAAGAAGTTTTTGGACATAAAGTATTTTTATCGTACAATTCTGCGCTGTTTGGTAATTTAGTGTAATTAAAACTGTAGTAACCATTTTCGATAAGGATGAAGGACTCAAAAAAAAACAAAAGGCTGTAAATTACTAAATTTTTATTATCTGTATGGCACTGACAATGTCATGATCTTGCTCATGATACTCGGTGGTAAATTAATTTTGATTGTTTTCTCTTCCTGGCGAATCCCAAATTCAAACTTGTACTTAATTGCTTCAGTCAATTAAATATGTACAAGTTTGACATTTCTTTCATAGCAAAAATACATTTTTTAAAAGTACCTTTGTTGACATAGTTTAAATGCAGAATAAAATATTTCAACGTGGGCAGAACGTGTTATTTAATGAAAAATATGCTACAATATAACCTGAGATTATTTAAAAAACTTTGTTTCATAGTCTCCCATTTTTCAATTACTAACTAGGTCCGCTTTACGATCCTTTTGCGTCCTCCTCGGGTAATCAAACCGTATTTTAAGTGTTTCACAGACCAGTTTCTATACTTTTATTAATAGTAAAGAGACAATTTTACAAAATTACGCAAGAAAAACGAACCAAATCGACAGACTCCAATTGACAGATCGATTGTTATGGGATGATTATGGGCCATACGGCTCAAGCGCCATCAGTAATTAGCTTTTTGTTTTTTCCCCATTGACGTTTCATTACAATCGAAACTGTATAAATATATTGGAAAAGAATGAATCGTATTCGTCGTATCGTTTACAATAAGAAATGATCTCAATAACTTACGATAAGCACCGATACGTTCGATCGTTGCATCCCTATTTTTACCATAGGTTTATTTATGCTAAAAAAAACACCCAGGTCTTTGAGGTACACATTCAGAAAACTAACGTAATACGAATAAAACAACCCGTAATTATTGGATGCCTATCTGGCTAGACGTATTAATCGGGCACCTGCGTAAGAAACGCACCGACCGACCGACTGTTGACGGAAAGCGCGACAGCGGTTCACCCATGCACTCGCGCATCTGACGATAAATCTAACGATAATAATCGAACGCTGATGCCGCACCGCTTGGCAGGCACACCGTAATACTTTCGCTCATAAGGAATTGCAATAAAGCTCATTTTCGGACGTGAATAGAAACCTTCAAGGGCTGAACTAGACGTCGATTTATAATAATTAACAAGCATGGGAATGACGTGAGGCGTGCGCGTCCAACAGTGATTTACTAATTCTGGCTCGTTTTAACCCTATCGCAATTTAGTGACCTGCCCTTTACCCAGCTAAGGTTTTGCTTGTATTCGAGGAAGTATTTAAGTGATTTATAACTTAAGGTATGATGTGTTGTTAAATTGGTTTATTGGAAAAAAGTTCCTTTTCGGGTAGTATGGCGGATAGGGGCCAGGAGAAAATTTTGTTTCAAATTTCTATGGACTATTTGTTTCAAATTTCTATGGACTTGGTTTAAATATTTCTTTAATTTTTAATTAATTGGGGGATCGGGCCATGAATGACCCACCACGCGACCCCAGTGCGGTTTGATGGGTAGGATACTTTTTCCATGGAATAGGGAGATTTGGCCAAGACTCGCCACGGGGGCCCAGTGAAAATTTGTGGGTGGCTTTTTTATACTTCGTTCCAAAAGTTGAAATACAAGTTTTTATTTAAATGCGCTAAAAAAATCTTTAAAACTTTTAGACATTACACAATTTATTGAATATAAATGCTTGTCGCGAGATTTACCTGTGTAGCAAAATTTGATCTTATTTTCAAACTAAATAATACCAGTATGTACCTACTTCTTAAAGGTGGCAAGCTTTTACATCATATAAATTGTGTAAGACGTTATAAGTTGATAATAAAAGTTTTGAAGGAAATTTTTATTTTATGCTTTTTAGCGCATTTCAAAAAAGCTTGCTTTTAAAAAGTTTTTTACATATTTTTTTTGGATCAAGAAGGAAAACTTTAAAATTAATAAGTTGTATCCACTTTTTCATAGTGGTAATAATGCTGTAATATACTCATACTTAGGTAATATACCTATCTATTTTTAAATCTCAATCATCTTAAAGTTTATTAATATTTTTTACAGTTTATGCTATAAAAGTTTATGAGAAAACTCGGAGTTTACAAAAAAAAGACAATAGCACGTCAACGCGTCCACGGATCCATAAATCAGATTCAATAATCGGCCATAATCGACGCAGTGCGCCGGCGCAGGCGATCGATTTATAATCGGCGCCGGTGCCGACCCGGGATGGGAAGTGTTATATTACATGAGCTAACGACCGCATAGGTTTAGCCTTTCTCATATGCCAGGATTAGGTTTGACGTCGCCAAGGTGCAACTACCTAGGACATTACATTATTCATCAGACCTTAGTCCTGACTTTTCTTACAAAGTAAGAAAGGCTTTTTAAAGTTTTTTTTTTAATTACATCGCCATAATTCTTTTCGTTCATCTTCAGCATGTCGCATTACATTTTTAATAGGTAGTTATTGAAAATTTAAGCCTTCTTAATGAGCATCGGGAGTTCAGTGGTAAAAAGCTCGCCTGCCACATGGGCGGCTTGGGTTCGATCCCAGTCGAGGAACGACTTTTTTATAACATAATAAAATCGTATTTGTTTCCTAGGTTTTCACGAACATCACTCAATAAATAAAACAAGTTTCAACGGGTTATATGCACTGATTTTATTTATTTATTGACGTTTCGCAGCCTTTGCAGGAATGCGTCGTCGGAATAATGTTTTTTTTTCTTTGTCGAGCTACGACGCAATCAGAACCAAGTTTTGATCAAGTTATTTGCTCAAACATAACTGTGGCGCGCCTGCCCCGCCTACAAGACACTTTTAATCTATTCCTGTGTTCTGTGGGTAACACTCGTCCCAACATTAGTTAGCCGGAGTCGTTATAGAACCCATGAAAAATGGTGTCCCGCCTTGCTCCTGGTAATCATTAGTCCATTATATTAATTGAGGGCGATCAGTGTTCTACCCTAAGCGGTGACTTCAAACAAAATGGAATGCTTTACCTTTGCTTGGTGCTACGAAATAATACTTGTTTGCCCCCACATGCACCATAGTTCTGAATTCAAATTAAGACTTTAACGCGTTTACTACGTTATTCAATAGGGGTAGAATGCGGCTTAAACATGATTAGCCTTGGAATTGGAAATAAGTACTTTGGTGCAAATAATATCCCTTAACACATGAGTTAAAAAGGTTCATTTCTAAAATCTTTTATCTTTAATTCATCTTTTTTTATATAAAAATGGTAGCAATGGTAAACAAGCATAGGTCAGATAATATTAAGGCCCATCTGTTGGTTAGCGGTGACCATAGCTTCATTCACAGACGCTTGCAATACCAAAAAATCACTTTCATCCTTGCCTACCTTGAACCCTTCTCCTACCCCAGGAAGCCCTAGTCCCGGAACCTTACTCATAAATAGGAATATAACACTACCAAAAAGCAGTGTATATTCTCTCAGGTGGAACTTATTCTCCGAGCGGAAATTTTTCTTTGTTTTGGGCAGGTAATATCATATTTTACACTTTCACGTAAGTCTATGAAGCTTTGGATTTTAATCTGCTAGTGACATCTAGCGGAGAAGAGATGAACTTGCCGCAGTCGTGAATCTATCATGCCATCTAGTGTGCAATAGCAAAGTTTAGATTATAGCTGCATTAAAAGGTGCTCTATTCTCTGTAAACAATTAAAGTAATGTAGCACATAGCGCCTGCCTATCAAGACTGGGTAGGTACATTAATTTAACAGTTTTCGAGACTTCTGTGTTATTGATATGCTTTAACTTATCTAAAGTAAAATTTAATCCCTAAAAATCTAAGTAATTGTTTCGATCAGTCTGCATTGCTTGAAGATTTTATTTTATTTGTAATCAGTTACTTCGCTAGATGTCACTACTCTAGATATTGTAAAATTCACCAATTCTTGAAAAATATGTCATAATCGTCATACACACGGGGAATTTTTTAAACTCTTTAATACACAAACAAATTAAGTAGGTATCAGGATTCGAACTGCATCTTGCGTGCGTTCGCCTAGATAGCGGAAGATGCAGGTCTGAATATCGATTTGATGCCTGGACCGGGGGGAATTTTTTTTTTCTAATAAAATTTTCTTTGTATTTTTATATCTATCAGTTCAATGCTTCAAATAAAAATATAGTATAATAAATAACGAAGTAAAAACACAAAATTCAACTTTAACATACAAATATTAAAATTTATAACAATTGAACTATGTTAATTTATGGAATTTATTTATATTCCAAAATAAAGACGATGTGTTTAGAAAACTTGATATTCATTGGATGGATAATGATAATTCCAAACTCGCAAATATTTAGGTCAAGAACTGCAGAATTTACTGTGCTATCAGGGCACACCTGCAGAATCATTTCAACATTCCCGATACAAACATGCGAGAGAGATTATCTTAGGACATCTTACGCTATCGCGGCGTTACGCAAGGTGCTAATCTCAAAGCTGTCAATAATCAGATAATAGGAGCACCGAATCTATCCGAATTATCTATAGCTTTAAAGATTTTTATTCAGTACTTGTTGGGGTTACATGTGACCGCGTCTTAGAGATTTTGGAACAGCCTTACAACGGTTCGGGGGTCATATCTCGTGGCTAGCAAGATGGAGAGGCCGTCTACCTTTTCTGATATGAGGGACCAAAGGGCCAGCACGAGTCGGCAGTCTGTTGATAAAGTCGAGGTCTTTGAGGTTCGGGAACATGTTCCATACCAAGCTGAAGTGACTAGAGCTCCAACCGCTTATGATGAAGAGAGTGGTGCTTCGTACACTTCCTGGGACTCCGCGTGGAGGGCCATATGCCAGCTGTTCAACTTGCTGCATCACATGCTGATCGCAATAGTGGTGTTCTGCCTGTGGCATTTCGCTCTGACGTCAGCTCCCGACGGCGGTATCACTAACATGCAGTTGCACATCATATTTGCAGGAACTGGTGTATGTGAAAATATTTTTTTTAAGTGTATCGTCGTAATTTTGTGAGTTATTCTGTTTTGTTCGAAATTATAGGATTATTGCGTTAACGAGGTAAGTTCGGAAAAATCGAGCAAACCAGGAATCGAACCCTTTCGCGCATTCACCCCTGACCTAAAAAAAAATCGATACTTTAATGAGCTTAAATATTTCTTAAAAAGTTGCCAAAACAAACTATTGTCCCAATAGTCATGGCTCTGCAAACACAAAATAGATATGTACATGCAAACACCTGTGAATATGAGGTTGGATCTGGCATATTAAAATTTCCAAAATTCAAGAAAAGTGGAATCTTATATAGGTAACATTAGCATGTGGTAGTTAGGCCTACCCCTATCGAAACGCGGCTTGAAGATTTGTAAATGTTATTCCTTTCCCAGTACCAACTGTTTCTGGCGGAGGCGGTCCTGACTCTTCATAAACACAACTCTTGGTCGTTCCAAATGTCGCAAGACTCCAAGCGCATAGTCCACGGGTGTCTGCAGCTTGCAGGTTCCTTATTTGTAATGGCTGGGACATTCCTTGCATTGACTGAAGTGGACATGGCTGTCGGAACGGCGCATGGCATTTGCGGTGAGATTTTTCACATATTTTTTTAAATACAAATACTGCCCTGATCATATTCCCTACTCCGTTAAATTCAGAAAACCGTGTAAGGTTCCTTCATAAATATTATTTGATTGACATTATTCTATAATTTGAATGGGGATTCCGCTGTGGCCTCATTTCTTGCATTGTCAAACGTTTTAAAGGGATATACAGCTACTTTTTAATGCTCGTGCAATGATACATGACCAAATGTAATTGAATTTCGGTAGGAACTTAACATTATCAGTAGTTGTTCTAGTATACTAGCGAAGTGAGAAAAGTCTTCTGTAATTTGATGAATTTTTTTTCATGTGAATCATAAATTGTACCTACTTCAAACGTAAGTATATTTCGTGAGATAAGATTGAACTGGTTTATCTTTAAGACTATATAACGTTAAAACCCGAAAACTTTAATATCAAACGCGTTAAACGCATCAAATGGTATGGTGTAATATATGGGTACTTTTGATTGTCATGAAATTCTACCCATAGTTGCAAAAACTATAATGTTTTACCTTTAGTTGCAAATAATCATAAATGGGTTGGGTTAGGCAGAATGTAACTGCAAAGTACTGAAGGCTTCTCTGATTTATTGAGCTTATTAAATTACTGTTGGCATGGCATCGCATCGTGGGAAGGTAGCTCAGTGAGAAAGTAACATATAATATCTGCAAAAACAACCGACTATTGGGAACAAAGTTTGAGCTCATCGCAAAATAAATATCCCCACCGGGATTCAAACCCAAGATCTTTGGGGCAGAAGGCTGAAATGCAGACATTGCGCTAACAACGGATCATTCTCAGTCGATCCATGATGGATCTAGAGAGATTTTTAACACGCTTTTATAAGTTCACTTGTACGAGTATGTAACTATGTAATGAAATCTAAGAATCTGAATTACACGCACTTCTAATTCTTGTATCATCATGAAACTTGGCAATTATATGTAGATGAGATGACAATACAATATTATGGTACCATCGAGCTGGTCTGATGATGGGGCTGGATTACGAGGACTTGACGATGGACTAGAAGGTGGCGGATGGACCCTGGACTGCCTACTAGTAAACAAATCGAGTTTGGGCTCATGAGATTCGTCTTAACATAATAAAACTTTGCAATTATATGTAGATTAGGTGACAAAATAGTATGGTACCATCGAGCTGATCTGATGATGGAACTGGAAGGTGGCTGAGTGGCTAGTAAACAAATCGAATTTGGACTCATGATATTCGTCTTAACATAATAAAACTTTGCAATTACCTAGTCAGGTCATAAATTCTGTCACATGTTTAATATAAAATAATTGAATAAAGTTTATTCAAAATGAACTTTACTAAATATAGATTCTTATGACAATGAAGTTTATTCAAAATGACCTCCGTGATTTTGAATACAGGCCTTCAATCTGCGCGGCCAGTCGTCTATCGCAGCACGAACGAGGTCCATGTCAATATCGGCGGCTGCCTTTATCAAGGATTTCTTGAGTGACTCCAAATTGTGATGAGGCTTTGAGCACGCCTTTTCCTCCAAGTGTTTCCATATCTTGTAATCTAACGGACTCAAATCTGGACTGGAGGAGGGCCAGTCTTCGTGCCGGATGAAGTCGATTTCTCTCAGATTTTCTCAGTCTTGTGTGTTCTTCGCTCTATGAGCTGGCGCCGAATCTTCTTGGAATACCCAGTGCCTGTTATTGAACATGGTATGAGAAACAGGTTCCACAAAGTTCGTCAGGACTATATTTTGATACACAACTGCATTCGTTTTTACACCTTTCTCACAAAAATGTACCTCTGTTAAGCCCTAATAAGAAACTCCCAACCATACCATGAGCGAGGATGGAAAATGACCTCGTTGGACACGCGGAATACAGTTGCTCGCTTTTTCACTAATGTGTGCGTACACCTTATCATTTTGTTTGTTGTAGCTCTCTTCTACGGTAAAATTTTTTTCATCCGAAAAAAGAATTTCCCGATATTTTTTTCCGAGACCGAGAGCGACCACTTCTTGACCTGTCATCTACACTAGAGTCTTCATTGTATCGTTTGATGGTACTACAAACGAATCTTTTGGTTCTATTCATATTTTTCAGTATGTCAAAAATTTGAATTGGCGCGTAACCGCAACGATTCAACGCATTCTTCTCTGTTTTTTTTAACACGCTTTTATTAGGAAATGGAATCTATGGTAACTATTTAACTACCTTTCAAGGATCGTAGCGTAATGAATTGGCAGCTATATGTAGTTCTGATAACAATGCAATAATATGGTACTGTCGAACTGATCTGATGATGGAGCCGGTAGTTATGAACTGGAACTTCATGTCGGAACATCGTGTCATAGCTGTTTTTGGATTTCTTATAAAAGTCTAGTAATGAACTTTGATCACGATTAGGTTTCAGGGTTTCTAATGATGAAGCCGGAAGAAAGGCACTGGCATTCCATGATGGAATATCGTATCATAGTCGTGTTTGCACTTGTGAGATAGGCCACGTAATTGAACACGATCAGGTTTCAAGGTTATAACAAACCTATAATATTTTTCTTATTTTTTTTTAACTATTAACTGGAATGGCGTATGTGGCCCTAAGTAGAGTAAAAACACCTAGTGGTCTCCAGATTGAAGAGCTAGATTGTTCTAAGCTGTCAGGCAAAACACCATGCAATACAGACGCACTGGCGGAGATGGAGAGGATGCGGGCTCATTCACCTACTTAAAACAAATGTATGAAAGTTAAAAATATTTCGTTATCAAAGACTAAAAAGTACAGGAAAGACTTTTTGTATAACTTGCTGAGAAATCAAGTTAAGCGATGTTACGGGAAGCAGGTAACACAGATTGGCGCTTGAGTAACAGTTGCAGCACGACTAATAATACCTTAGATATTATATTCAATATAATGATCAATATCGCATTACTAATATGTTGATTTCGCAGCAAATTATACAAAAAGTCTTTCCGGTTCTAGCGCCCGACGCTTTTACAATCAAATATTATAATTAAGAGCACATAGTTTACACTTCAGCCAAGAAATAGCGACAACTTCAGCGATCCCTAATTTTTTTTGGTTTTTACGTGAATTTATAAAAGCGTGTTTTTTAGGTTTTTTTAAAACTATTAATTTTTTAGATTCTATTTACAGCGCCCTGTCGAGGGACAGTCCTTCCCCTAATAATAACTTTTTTTTTTTATAATTCCAGGAGTGATCGCGTTAGCCTTTACTGTAGTGAGTTTCATATCAGGACTTATCGCGCTCTTCTCATCAAAAATCCGTTTGATGATCAAGAGTGGGCCTGTGAAGATACTCCACATGGCGTTGGGTATGTTCGCGCTGTCCATGGGACTCGTCAGCATGATACTAGGATTCAATACGGACTTCTTTACCGCCACACAGGGCAATTTGGGCGTAGCACTCATGACTTTCGTCGCAATGACAATACTCTATTTAATTTTCCAGCCTATATTCGACCTAATAGCTACGGTGAAAAACATGGCGTGACTGATTGATTTGCCTGGGTCCACTTCAAGCGATAGTACTGTGTAAAATTAGTTAAAAAGTAAGAGGGTATAATGAGGAAGATTGCACGCTCAATTGGATGTCGGCTCATTTGAAGGGGATGGAATCAAGGTAGGCGACGGCGCGAGTGATAAAGTTTGTATCGCAAGACTCTTAAGCTATGGTTAGGGTTGCCCTACTATATAATATATAATATAAGGATCAAATACCATATTTCTTAAAAAAAATATAGTAGGAGGAACTATATATTTTGCTTAAAGCAGACTTGTCAGTAAAACCTTTTTTAAAAATAAAAACTTAATTATTAAGCCATGTAGCAGCAAAATAATAATAATAAAGTAAATATTTTTTCCATTTTTTGCCTTCTTCTATATTTTTAGAGGTAACAGTTTCGAAAATACTATATTAGATAGAAAAAACGAAGGCATATTAAGCTTGTTTGCCACCCTTATAACATAAAACCCTCTATAGTGCGAAGATTGAGTAACGCCTCTGCTATCAGAAAAATCAAGGGCACAAGCGTCCATTATCGTATCGCATCGTCAGTTTCTATGAAAACTAAGCAGCTCCACTACCGGACGTAAGAACAAACTGTCTCTTTGCATACAAAATTTGACGATGACGATACAATTACGTCCACGAATTCATGATTTTTTGCCCCTCCTCCCGTCCTTGTAACAACTGGTCACATTTGTGAGACTCCCGCCCCTCCCTAGTGTGACGTCACGTCACACGACGTATTTTGCAAATTTACATTTAGAAATTATTGAATGAAAACAGCAGTTCTGAAATCAGTTTTATTTCAATTTAAATTATTTTTTAATAATATTAACATCAAATCAAACAATTAACAAAACAAAAAAAACCGGCCAAGGGCGAGTCGGACTCACGCACCGAGGGTTCCGTACAAACTCAATTTAATACCTCTACGCGTTCACGAGAAAAGAGGTAGTAAATTTAAAATTTTCAAAAAAAAATATATGATGTAACTAAAAATTTACGTTTTTCGCAATTTTTCCTTTTACTGTACCATAAGACGTTACTTCGTACCAAATTACAAGATTCTAAATTCACGGGAAGTACCCTGTAGGTTTTGATTCCCGTGCGAGTTTCGAAAATTTGCGGATACGCCCCTGGCTGTATGTCCATTACATTTGGCATTAAAATTACATGGACCTACACTATATTGAGAGTGAAATCTTGTCTCTTAAACCAATCATCAGAGACGTTAATTAGTTCATTATAATTTTGATTTAAGTTGATAAGATGTGACTTTGACTACCATTAAATTTAATTGACGTCTCTGCGGGTGGCTTGTAACTTTAATAACGAGTGAGGTGTACTTAATTTATTCTAAGTAGTATTTTTAAGAATATATTTTTATGTAGGTATAAGGTGCTTTATCATGTAAGTTTGCCCCCCTAGCATGAACACCGCGATATGATATAAAACGCGTTTTTATTACGCTCAATTGTCAAATTACTATGGAGTTTGACAGCTCGACGCGTTAAAAACGTGTTAAAATGTTAATTGTGGTGCTCATGCTACAGGGAATAGATCAAATTCAAAATTTTTATGTGTATTTGTTATTATCACACATAATAATGTTCACATGTTTGGTGTAATTGGGTATAACGATCACTTAAATTGAATACAGAATGAATTCAAAACTGTTTAATCTTTTCTGAAGTTTTGGGTTGATGTTAATTTTCAATTTTATAAGTCTCGATTAATATAATATTTAAAATTGTATATTTACCAAACAGACCGGTGACGATATGATCCTTTCCAACCATAGAGCAATAGGGAAGGGAGTAGCGACCTATTACTATTTAAATAATTCTACCATTTCTTGTGGAGGGGGGGGGGGAGGGATAGGCACACAAACGAAGAAAAAAACCGGCCAAGTGCGAGTCGGACTCGCGCACCGAGGGAGTTCCGTACAAACCCGAATTTAAAAAAATATTGTTTATATTGGCTGTATCTTTTGATTGCTTTGGCTTAGAGGGCTCCAAGGGACAGTAGACCTGAGTATTAAATAAAAAATTCAGTTTGATACCTCTACGCGTTCCTGACAAATACGGTCTTGACAGACGGACGGACGGACAACAAAGTGATCCTATAAGGGTTCCATTTTTTCCTTTTGAGGTACGGAACCCTAAAAACCGTAATTACAATAGATAAATCTTTGAAAATTACGTCACACTCTAAATGGCATAATTAACAGCCAAATCCTGCACACCTGTATCGTTTGTATGCCCAATTCGACAGGGGAAAGCTGTGTATACCTACTCCCCTCCTGGCCGCATCGACCGTGTTGCTATGTTTTCAACATTGAAAATAGGCTATTCTTGATTGTACAGTAATCTTTAAGATGTTTTCAGAGGAGATTTAGAATTAATTATGTACTTGTATTGTTATTGTAGCATAATAATATAAAGTAGAATTATGTGATCTAATACCATTGTGTGCGCGTATTTCTAAATAAATTATTTTGAATACTTAAGATTTTTCATTTCAATTGTGCCTGTTAATTTTTGGCAAGATAACGCGAACTAAGCATGCATTCCCGACCAACACACCAAAAATTATCACGCAAAAGCTACTGAACGGAGTAGGATTCAATTTGGTACGCTTTTGGTTTTTGACCTGGATTTTTATCCCGGAACATGTTATTAAGTTCCTAAAGGACTTTCAAAAAACGGCGGCAAACTTATTGTAAAGGCAGACAGCCGCCAGACAAATTTATATATCAAAATATTTTATAGGATTTTTGTATGAGAAGCATGATATATCCCCAGCTGATACTAAGTGTAAGTGAAGTCCATTGGCAGTTAGCTACTGCAGCAAAAAATATACCACTTCAAACTTTTCATCGTGCCAACTTGAACACAATCACTAACCCTGTGGGTCCTCAAACCTTATTCACTGATAGAAACACAACACAACCAAAAGGCAGAGTTTCAGGTCATTTCACTACTGCAATAATATATAAAAACTAAATGAAGGTATACCAAATAAAATATTTAATGCGATAAGAACACTTATTACAGTATAGAATGAAAATTAAGATTTAGACTGTTGCTTTTTAGCAGCCTCTGCTTCCGCTTCACTCTTCTCAAAATCTGCTATCAGTTTCTCCACTTCGGGGCTGGTCAACACTCTGATGATTGTCTTATTGTCCTTCCGTGTGAGGGTGGCCATTTCAACTAAAAATTAGTCAGTATATATTAAATCAAACAATAGTTTGTTTACAACCAAAAGTTATCTCAGTAGCAGATACTCAAATAAGTATTGTGTGTTTTTGTGGTTAACACTAGCACTTGAGATGACTATTTGTATTTGCTAATTGCATATTTTTTATCATAATTATTATATTGAAATGGCCAGGTGAAGCGCTTGCATAACAACCATTAATAGGAACATTTTTTAAATACTTATTACAATAACAGTTAAACTATTACTGTTAATTTACTTAAGATAATTATTTCAATAAAATGCAGAAAAGTACATGTTTAAATAACTAAATATAAATATTATTTTACATTTATACAACAGTAATGTGATATAAATTCAAACATATTTACTCTTTCTTACCTTTCTCAGGTGTCAATTTGGTCATATCTAAGGTTTTGCTCAGAACTTTAATTGCAAGAGCTTGTGCTTCTGCTAAAGTTGTTTCATTTTCTTTATACTCTTGCTTCAAACTGGAAACAGCTGCCTGCCAAAAGAAATCAAACATTTACCTATCAAATATTTACTAAATAATTGTCAATCATCGTAAGTACTTAACAAGAAATATCATCTATTATCAACATCATCAGGCTATTAATGTCCACACTGTTCAGGCACAGGGCTTCTCAATAGATAGAATAAGAAGATTTAGCCATCGTCCGTCACAAGGGCCTTGTACATAGAGTGGGAACTAATGACAGAATGCAGCTATGAAAAAAAAGCTCTAGAAAGTAAGCTTTTGATCACCCATCCTTTGAGAAGCCATGATGAGTAGATTAACTACCACAATTACTAACCAAAGATAAATATAGAATGGTGTATAAGCTCATTTTATTAATGCAGAAAATGAGCTTATACACCTTTCTATATTTATTAATAATTTATTAACTTAGACACTTACATTTGCCAGTCCGCTAATTACTTAAAAGTTATATATATAACATAATAATTTAAATCTCTAATAAGTGTTTAAGTTTACTTACAGCACTATTGTTTCCAATACAGGTAGCTTTCCAGCCCCCATAGTTCCCACTAGGGTCTGATTGATATAGCTGATACCCATAATGTTTATCCCAGCCCATGTATAAAATAGATACACCAAATGGTCTTTTACCTGTAAGCAAATTAATTTATCATGATACTTCAATATTTACTGTAACTAGTTTAATACAATAAAATTGATTATAAATAGGCTGGTGATGAGCTACTAACCTCCATACTGTGTATAAGCTTGTTTCACATCACACAGCCAAGACACCAATTGCTCACAAGGAATGGACTCTCCATACTGCAGTAAATACCTTTGGGCAATCAATCTCAGCTCATTTGTCAATACATTAGCATCAGATGTAATGCCGGCGACCGAACAAACCATGTCATCGTTCAATTTGTAGATTTTCTCTGAGAAAAATACTTCATCAAGCAGTTTGTTGGTATTCCTTCGCTCTGCTGCGAGTAAGATGCCGTCAGTGGCTAGTATCCCGAGTGATGTACCGGCATGACTGATGGCTTCCATTGCATATTCAACCTGATACAGTCGTCCTAAAATAATATTTCAATATAATATCTTACATCAGTACCTACGAAGGTTATTTCGTATTGTAAGAATATAATTACCTTCAGGGGAGAATATTGTAGTACGAGTATCATAACGACGAGCCTGAAAATAAACAATATAAAATGTATTCGTTTGGATGACAAGCAAAAACTGAATAACCTACAATATCTATCTATCAAAAACTGGTGCCAATTGAAAATAATGCACAGAACTTACCATGTTTAAAAGAGGTTATTAAAGATAAGCACAATATAAAAAAGCCAAAACACTATTTGAAACAGTAAGTAAACTATTTTTCTCTTGGCCGCCGGACGACGGGACGGACGATACGATGACAGCAAACTTTTGATTTTTTTTACGTTCCTAGCCATGCATCCAGTGCCAGGCAAAAAGCAAAAGTTAAAGTAGGAAATTTACTGATTATTGACACCGTCTTATTTTGTAATAATTATTTTTGATTAACAATTACTTAAAATAATCATTAAAATAATTAGATCAACTGTATAACTAATTTAAGTAAAATAAATAAATCAAATAACCTAATGCAATAATAGTGTCAATGGTATCGATTCTGGCATGATTCTCTAAAGCTAAAAATAAATTTCACAGCAGTGTATCTCTGTCATACTCTATACAGACTGAAAAGGACAAACTGATGTTAAATTTAGTTTTAAGTTTAGAGAATCCTGCAAGAATTGACACCAATGCTGGCTTGGTTCTCTAAACCTAAACTTAAATTTGACAACAGTGGTGTCGATTCTGACATAATTCTCTAAACTCAAAACTAAATTTAACGTCAGTCCTCTCTTTTTATTTTGTATAGAGAATGACAAGGACACACTGGTATCGATTCTGGCATGATTCTCTTATATAAACTTTTATTTATTTAACCGATAATGGTGTCGATTCTAGCATGATTCTCTAAAGCTAAACTTAAATTTGACAGCAGTGTATCCTTGTCGTTCTCTATACAGAATGAAAAGGAGAGACTGATGTTAAATTTAGTTTTAAGTTTAGAGAATCACGCCAGAATTGGCACCCTTAAATTTAGTTTTAAGTTTAGAGAACCACACCAGAATCAATACCCATTGTTGTCAAATTAAAGTTTAGGTTTAGCGAATCATGCCAGAATCAATGAAAAGGAGAGACTGACTTTCATTGAAATAAATTTCTTATATTCAAACTTCGAGCAACCTAACACTTTTCCGGGATAAAAAGTATCCAATCTCTCAATCTAGGTATTAAACTATGTGTATGCCAAATTGCATCCAAATCCGCTCAGCCGTTTTTTTCGTGATTTTGTAAAAAACACAATCTTTTAAAATATTAAGTAGGATATTAATGGTGACTCACTGTTAATTAAATATTGTGCTATATTGTTTAGGTTACGCGATCATCCCACGGAGCTCCGTGAATCTTCAAATATACTTTTAGGACTGGTTTCGGTCACGATTTTGTTCGTGTTATATATATATATAAGTAATGCGTACGCTACTACATTCCCCTATGATTTAAATACCGCCTCATATTAGATTATTTAAGAAAAGAAGTTTAATTTCAGATGTGTGGTACACTTTTTATTATTATTCTTTCTTTTCCACGTACACTTTTTATTATTATTCTTTTTTTTACATTGAGGAATGAGAATGAGGGCTTGACAAATTTAAATGTAACTTGGAGTGTTTGGCACGCAATGCATTGAGTCAGCTTCCTCAATAAGCTTCTTTAAAGAACATTGTTATTTCCGCTCAAATATAGAGATTCCCGCGAGATCTTTCAAAATTAAAGGCATTCTTATCAATAAAATGAATGACACTACTTTTCATATGTATTTATTTATTTAAATGTAGGTATAACGATTTATTACTTCCTCTAATGGTATCGATTCTGACATTATTCTCTAAACCTAAACACAAATTTGACAACAGTGCATCCTTGTCATTCTCTATACAGAATGAAAAGGGAAGACTGATGTTTAGTTTTAAGTTTAGAGAATCACGCCAGAATCGGCGCCATTAACAACTTCTTCGTTGTCGACACGTTAGAACTCCAAATACTCCAAGAAACATTAGACACGCCACACCACAGACATAATTAACTAGTAGCAGACGGAATATTCAGTTTTAAAACAGCGTGGCAAATACACACACATTGAAACTCACCAAAGCATGGGCCGCATTTAGTATAGTAGAATAATGGATGTCATTATTGTTTCATGAAATACCTAATGTGATGTCCATGCTAATAACATTATAAATGTAAATTGCGAATTTAGCCAGGCGAAATCGCTGAACCGATAATGATAAAATTGAGCACGGAGATAGAAAGGACATAGGTACAATTAGGAAAATTGAAATAAAAATTTAAGGCACAGTTTTTATTTATTTATTTTGAAATAATACAAGATTTTTAAAAAAAATCTCTGAGATACATTTGTTTCTTTACATTGATGTTTACATCTAAGATCAAAATAAAATTTGACAACAACTTTAATAAGCAAGTGGACATGGTTTATGTCATGATCTGGATTGTTCGAGTCAAATATTGAATAACCGACATAATCACATATGAATTTAATCAAACTATTAAAATTTTTTACTTTAGTTTATTTTAAAACAAAAAACACTTAAAACACTATAAGTTGGTTGCCAATCCTGATGTTTCATATATTTTAACCATGCATTCCGAGTACTTTCATCCTTTGAAAACCTAGAACAAAATTGTTTATGTGGTTATTTGGGTTATATACCTACCGATGCCAATGTTCCAAGAAATATGAATAGCTAGTCTATAATAGGTACCTATCTATTTACGTTCTTGATTGCATTCACATTCAAAATACAATGCAATGCAAACAAAATTAATTGAGAATTAGAATTTCCTATCATGATATATCGTGATTACTTCTATTTCTTTACTTTTAGGATATTAGTTTTCACCGGTAGTATCTTAGATAATTAATCCTACGTAAAAAATGTTACATGTTACGATAATATTTAAATAAACTTCGAAAAGACTCAAATACTTTTCAGTACACAACAAAGACACATAAAAACTTACTGATGAAAGGTAATCCTGGTGTTCTATTGTAGGTAGCACTTTCACATCGATACGCACTGTACTTCACCATAGTAATTGCATAATCTCGTTTTGTAATATAGTTTCATCAAAGCTATAAGAAACACCGAAAAGTCGCATGTCCGATAAGTCATGTATAAAATGGCGGCGAGGAATAAAAATGACACGCGTTGACATTTGTTGATGTGTGAGTCAGTATTGCAATAGATGGAAGAATGAGATGCCACTATCGAGTTGTAGCTGAGTACAAAAAGGATAAAAGATCATGCTTTGATTCATAAATATAACTAGGTTTTCTGTTCCGTCTGCTATAGTATTATGTGTCTGTGCGCCACACTCTCATTCTTAAGTTAAAAAAAAGAACATTAATAAAACTAAGGACTAGGCTGTATTTGTTCCATTGAATTGTTTCCTTTACCTTAAATTAAGAAAGTTATGAAAAAGATGACTTGTTGATGTTGACGTTTAAACGTTTTTACACCAAGTTTTCACATTAATTTCTAGATTCTTAGATTCTTACTTCTACCAAAGCATTGATTTTCTTATGATCTTAAAATAAAGTAATTATTTAGTTAGTTTAATAAAATGGCTGTTGAAAAACGAAATATTGCAGCAATACCAAAGAAGTCACGATTGGAAATGAACGTTCGTCAGCTGTTAAATAAGTGTGAACTGATTGCGAAGCAAGAGCCGATCGATTCAAATTGGAGATTGAAGAAATATGTAGATTCGTTGGCTGAAATGTTAACCGAATTGAAAACAGGACCCGAGTATGACATTTTTTATAAACAGATTAGAAAAAGTGCATGTTGATAAATTATTTATATTATATTTTTTACCTTACAGTAAACCTGGGAAGGATGTATTGGCCGAATATTCTAAAAGAACTGCATTTTTAAAAGGTCTGATTCAAACAGCTACTTTGAATAGTCCTATTGAGAAAGTAAGTAGCTTCATAGTTGTTCAGTATTTAATTAAATTCAATAATTATGGTGAAGATGTGTTTTGATTATGGTATTGATTTATATTTAGTTGGAGGCTGTGCAACTTTTATCGCATGGTGCAGCCACTATGTGTGCAGATGCTTCAGCTCAAGAAATACATCAGAAGACTGTTGCAAAATATGGAGATGAATTGAGATCAGAACTCTTTGGACTAGGTAAGCAATAAGTCAGTTTCGGATTTTAATTTGATACAGTAATGAATTTGAAATTATTGTCTTGTTTCCAGTATTTATGATATTTCACTAGTTTTAGATACTTGTTAGTGTTCTATAGTACATATATACATTCATAAATAAGAGACTTAATGGAAAGTCTATTCATTACTATCACTAATGATCTTGTGATCTTTATATTTCTAGAAGATCCTGATGACACACTTCGTAAAAGAAACATTATTAAAGCACCCAACTTCACAAGCAACAGCAGCAGTCAGGAAGATATTGACTCTCTGCTGAAGTATCACCAAAACATGCAGGAGAAAGTTGCAGAAAATATGGTGATGCTCACTAGAAGCTTGAAGGAGCAGTCACAAATTGCAAGTACTATCATCAAAGCAGATACCGAGGTAATATTTCAAATAAAACTGGGTCTTTATTTTCTCACTGTAACTATATTCGCCATCCCTATCAAAGCTAAAGGAAAGTGTCAATATGATATAACCAGGGCCGTAGCTAAGGGCAGCATGATGGGGCAGTGCCCTATCTTAAAATACCTTTTCCTAAGCAAGTGTATGCGCATGCACTTGCTTATGCCCTACTAGAGATTACTGCTGACCTATCTTAAATAGAACTCTATCCCTGGATATAATTTCTCCCTTGCCTAGCTATGAAATGTAAGAGGTTGCAGAAACCAAGAAAGTTATAAGTAATAAGGACTCAGGTTTTAATAAAGTATCAATTCATACTAAGGCATAATACAGAATGAACATGCATAAGGTATGCAAGTTTTTAATTGCTGGTGTCACTGCTATATCTCTGTGAGACTCAATGTAAAATGACTAATCCTAAATATTCCAAATCCTAAAATCCAAGCTATGATATAAAACAGAAGATTTTCATTAAATATTATGCATAATGTTCTGAACAAAACTGGTTTAAAACATGCAAATGTTCAAAACTTATTCAATGTTAGCATAAGGTTTTATAGTTACTAATAAACAGGCAGCATGTCAACAAAAGGAGATTGGTCAAATTGGCCTAAATGCAAATAAAATATTGACGTATACAGTAATTCTTGGCGTAATTTATACTTTATTTTACAGTCATTAGATTTTAACGGCCACCTTTAAATAATATATTAATTTTAAAAAAGGACTTCTATTTTTACCGGTTTGGAAAACATACGAATCATTTTTATTGGCTATGGGTGTAGTAACATTCACAAAGACTGATCGAGGTTGTTTATATAACATCAAAACAAATCTATTTTGTAAAGATTGATAAAATATTTTTTTTTTTATTACACGGGTGGTCTTCACAACTTTATTATCATTTTTACTACATGCAAATGTGCTAAGACAATTAATATAGATGGTAGGCGACATCATAAAGTCTATTGCCGTACATTTTTTGCCAAACACCTAAATAAACACATTATAAGGTGTGATACACTAAAAATCTAAAATATGGTTATAATAAAAACATAACAAAAATAATGAAGCTGCTGAAGATATGGCTGTATAACCTACAGCTCTTAGCTTTCTTTGATTAACGAGAGTTTAAAAATTCTCTCTAATCTGTGGCTCATTCACAATCATCACACAGTTTCTGTTCGTGTTTTTAAAAACATGCACATATCTGTTATTTTACATGCTCTATATACCTGAATCTAATACATAATATCGGTAGGTACTTGGCTTGATTGCCCTATTTTCCTATATAAGTTATTTGGTTTTTATTATTCTAATACCTATGTGCCTATTTGCAAACATAACCTCAAAATCATTCAGTGTATATGGTTTATAGAAGTTCTCAGGAGTGGCCGTCGATAATATTCGTTTCTACGGTAATTTATATATAATTTCCAATGTAGGAAACAATTTTTCATGGTTATTGGTTTTTAGGCCAAACATGTATGGAAGCTGAGCAATCTCCTTTATTTATATTTTCATCTATTCCTATTTTACCTATCTGTTTTAGTGTTTTTCACAGTCAAATTAAAATTGTTTATTGTCATGTTACAGGCATTGAAAAAATCATCAGATCTAACAGACCGGAATGTAATGACTCTGAAAAAGGAATCTGACAGACTTCAGGAACATAGCAAGAGTGCATGGAAATGCTGGCTATGGCTTATGTTGGCAGTAGTAATGGCTATTTTTATAAGTGAGTATACATAACACATTCTATATTTAACCTACAGCTAAAGTTCTCAACTTCATCTAGAGAGAGGCAGGGCACAGCAGATTTTCTGCTCGAATTGGAGCGCCCCTCTGGGGAAGCAACCTCCACCTGTAGAAAAATAACACTACCTTTTGGTGGAGGATTATTAGGGTTCCAGGGCTAAGCTTGGTAGGGATTGGGTTCAGGCTGGCAAGGTGGGGATGGCTGGAGCGGCACTGCTTCTGTCGCATCATCTATCTTTGCAACTGAATTGTCAGGTGAGATGGAGTAATTTGTTGTGCCGTGTATAAAAAAAGAAGACAAATAAAATTAGTTTCAGTTTAGTTTTTGTGACCAGTACTTCATCTCAACCACAACATTTGTTATATCTCCACACCAAAATTTATTAAAATTAGTTCAGTAGCAAAGGTATGTTCATGTAATGTAAAGGTATGTAAATCATTATCAATTAATATGGGATCATCCATAAAGACGTCACACGTTAAGGGGGAGGGAGGGGGCAACGAACTGTGACAAGGGGTGAAGGGGACCTAAGTTTGGTGATGTCACATTTCAAAATCTAATATTGTTAAACTATTATCAAAAAACTTTAATATATTCAGATCTCTATTTGTATGGGTTTTAATTTATGTTGTCTACAAATTTCTGGAACTGCGGGTGAATGTATAATTTCTAGATGCAAAATATGTACCATCATACTAGGGAGTGCTTATAAATGGGGGTAAAAAATCAGGAAATTTGTGTGACATACTTTATGGATGACCTCCTATATAACTAATGCATTGGATAGGTATGTCTTTATATTACTTGTTGTTTTTATTTTAATATTCAACCCATAATTTAAATTACTTGTATTAATAGAAAAGGATGTTTGATCCATATTTATAATATTAACTTGTCATAAATAGGTCCTTATGGCAATTATGTATTCTATATAAAATGAAATTAAACTGTTTTGGCAATTTTAAGTGAATAACAAGGAAAGTAGATTGAGTAATAGAAATATATACAAATACATTGTATATAATCCTCCCACTAATGGAGTTGGGTAAAAAATAGGATTGCAAAACTACACTCTTGGCCACATCTATTGGCCCACTTAATGTTATTAGACAAGTTTCAACGGTCTGTAACAAAATTATATGTTGAGTTTGAGCAATTTAAAAAAACATGAAAAATATGCTTTATAAATCAGCTACAAAACCGCGTAAAACTTTTTGCTTAACTTAATTTTTAGCTAGCGACTGTCAAAACTTAAATGCTAGGTGGGTCGATAGATGTGTGCAAACTTATAATTTAAGAAACTATAACATTTTGTCTTTTTACAGATATGGTGTTATTCATGAAGGTAATGAAGAAGAGAAAATTAGATGTATAATTAAGGAGGTATGTTTTTATAGATAAATTAGTATTGGAAGAAAATATTAATTGTAAATTCAAGTTGAAGAATAATTTATTAATATTATGTTGTATATTGTAATTTGCCGTATTTATAACTGTACTTCTACTTCATATTTGTCATATACCTTAGATTTTATAATACTATGAATCAATGTAAATAAAACACTATTGATAAATAATCGTAATTTTTATTATATTTACTACTTAAATTTTCTCTACTTTTAATGGAGTTCTGTTTAATACTTAAGTAATTTTGACATACCAAATCATTTTGGTCCATTACTGGTTACATAATAAATTTTTAATTACTAGTCATACCACAATGCCAAGAATATATTTTTTATGACAAAGGTAAACATATATTTTCACTAATTTTTGTTTACTTCAACTCATCAAGTAATTTTAGTGTTATAATCTTAGAGCAATCCCTAATTTTCTTTTATATATGTGCGTGATTGTATTGGACCTTTGATTCCAATATTATTTCCCATTGGTAAGGTTATACATAGACATTTTTATTAATGCCCAAAACCTATTAAGCCTGCGGGAATTACTTTGAAATAAATATTTTATGAAACTAAGTAATATGTCAAACATTTATGTGTTTAAATTTAACAAAAAATCATACTTATTATAATCATACAGAAATTAAAATCGCAATTGCATATTAATGTGATATCAACCTACGTTAGGAACATTCATGTTCTTTTTTTTCGACAAAGGGTTTGTGACGATATTTTCTAGTTTTTAGGGTTCCGTACCTCAAAAGGAACAACGGAACCCTTATAGGGTCAAGCATCAAAAGATACAGCCGTTTATGCCGCAAATTTTCAAAACTTGCACGGGAATCAAAACCTACAAGGTAGGGAATCTTGAATTTTGGTATGAAGTAACGTCTTATATTACAGATGAAGGAAATATTGCGAAAACCGTAAATTTTTAGTTATACCATATAATTAAAAATATTTATAAAATTTTAAAGTTACTACCTCTTTTCTCATGAACGCGTAGAGGTATTAAATTGAGTTTGTACGGAACCCTCGGTGCGCGAGTCCGACTCGCACTTGGCTGTTTTTTTAACTTATATTAATTATGGATTGAATTTCTACGATTGACGTCAAAAATAATTCTATTCATGATATAATAAAATATATATGTTTGTTTTAAAAACTTAATTTTAACAGTATTTCTTATATGTATTATAAAATATATAATTTAGATTATTATTTTGTATATTTTTAAGCATTTAACTGCTAGATGATTAAAATCTAAAGATTTCTTCTATTAAAATTTTCTTTATATTTAACTTATTTATTTTTGAATACATAATTTGAGTTATATCATGTACTAAACCTACTGTATATAAACTAACTTTATCTACTTTTCCAATACATTTGTGGGTGAATATAAATTAATTATGGGGAACAAGTAGGTACTTTTAAGCATAAATTTATTTTCAGTATACTATTTAAATATAGGAAAGTTATTGAGTAGTAAGATATATATGTTGGTTAAGTGCAAGTTCTACAGTAGATTAATAGTCGTTGTGTATTTTTAAGTTTATGTAGGTATAATGTTTCCACCGTCATCTATAATACTAATACGCCAATTTTAAAGCGAATCATATTCGCAATCAATCACTTTTACATAATGGCTTTCCCTTCTATTGTAATTGTAAATACATTTTATATAATTTAAATTATATATTTTATTTTTTCTTATCGTAGACATCGGTTAATTCGAATTTCCAAATCTTGTTCGGTCCTATTTCTGTGACGTAAAGATGCGATCCATTCCTTGTCACCGCTAGTGAGTGAGGATTTGTGAAACCCTGTAAAAATCACAATATTAATGAAAAAATATCTAGAATTCTTATAGAGATACTTCTTAAAACGAATAACTGGTAACGAAACTGCGAATAACGAGTGTATCATTATTCTGATAGATTACTTATTAATCATATGATCAATAAATATTCAAAATACACATTTTTCAACACTGTACTACCTTCATTCTAACCAACTTAGTGTTTATTATTATTATTATTATATACAAAGATTTTATTTCAAGCCTCTTCCAGCTGTTCTGAAACCTATTTTTTAAATTATACTAAAAATTACTTAAAACAATTACTTTTGAAGTCTTCAAATACTTATATCCGATGGTTAAGGTAAGCGGATCATCCGACAGAAATTAAATTATAAAAAACTAGTGACAGCCCGCGACATCATCCGCGTTAAAGTTGGTTTTTAAGAATCCTGCCGGAGCCTAACACTTCCGGTATAAAAAGTAGGTACCCTATGGATAAACTCTATATATGCTAAATTTCGTCCAAATCCGTGTAGTCGATTTAGCGTGAAAGACTAATAAATATACCCATACAAACTTACGCATATATAATATAAGTAAGATTAGTGGGATAGTACTATATGGATAGGTAAAGTTGAGTGTCATAAGGAATCACTATTATTTACTTACAGTACTTGGTTCCCAGGTGTCCAAAATTGTTCCATAAACAGCGTTTACTGTGAACCCTCTGACAGCAATATTCTGTGATGTAGGACCGTTTACAGCGTAAATGATGTCTCCTTGAGATGCCACCGCGAACACTCTGCCCAATGTAGGATCTTCTATTATAGCAGCAGGCTCAAACATGTTGACGTAACTCTTTAACCCTGCTTTAGGGCACACTATTCTCATGTTCTCTCTGTCAGCAACGCAAACTATGTCGAGATGCTCCAATAATGTCACGCTATGTGGCAGATTCAAAGTCAACGTATCTGAATAGGTTGGTATGGCTAGTAACAGAATGCCAGCAGCATTGAATTTAAGGATTTGGTTGTTACAATAACCATCAGCCACAAATATTTCTCCAGTGGTTGCCACGGCTACTGAAGTCGGCATACATAGAAGTACTCGTCGTCTGTAAGGGTAGCCCGCAGTAAAAGCTTCTCCGATAGTCAGGGATGGGTATTTGTGATTGCTCGGTGTGTACTGAAATTAAACATTATAGTTCTAATCAGCATCCAACTTAGAATTTACTCATTTTATTTTAACTTCTGATTATTTCTATTATTACCTTGAATACCTGGTGCTTAGCAACATCTGTGACCCACACGTTGTCGTGATGATCAACTGTAAGACCATGCGGCATGTAAAACGCGTAGGCACCCCAACTGTGCAGCACAGATCCAGTATGTGGATCCAGAATCAATATCGTATCCTCGATAATGGGGCCTTTGTCCAAATTTTGGTACACATTGGATTCGTTGAAAGTACTGAAAGAAGCAATATGCCACGTTGCAATTTTAAAGCTATATTCTTCTTGCATTACACTGAAGTTGTATTTACCTTTCGTCCCATACTCTTTCAGCTCTATGAAATATCACTGGTTGACCCAAAGAGTTGATGGACACTGCAGTTATTTGTCCAACATTTAGCGACTGTTGCGGCCAATCCTTTACTTCTTGAGGTCTTAGTACAATCTCGTCTTTCGGCTACGATAATAGATTATTCATTTAAATCAGAACTTTATTCATAACTTTAATCAAATTACTGAAATCAGAAGGGCATAACTTACCGGGTGTAAGTCGATATTCTTTAATAAATTGTCTTCGTTTGTGCCGTAATTAAAATAGTCAAAATTATCTCGCACTGTTTCTGGCTCACAATTAATGCTGGCAAAAGCCAGTGCGAAGAAAAACAGCAGAAACATATTCGCTATTTGTTATGATCACTCTAGTTCGGATTCAGTTGCTTCAATGGCACCTTATTGATTGGAGGACATCAAGGGTTCTACGCATGCGCTATTCAGTTCTCGCAACTACTTCTCAAGGTTACGAGGAATGAAAAGATCAGAATACAAAACACTCTATACATGAACAGTTTTATTCTCACATAACCTAATATGTATAACATAACGCATTCAGAATAAATAGAACAATAAGATTTAAATTTTAATCATGGGAATAAATAAAATAGGTTCTCCTTAGGCTAATATACGAAAATAGGTATAACACGAAATTTCATTTCTTCACTACTGAATCAGTCTCAAATTGGAGTCGTTGTTCGAGCTCGGCACATTCGGAGATTTGTAGACTTGCACACTGAATAACATGCAGATTTCGCATTCGAGATTCATACGATTTTTGTGAAGCAATGGAACAGTGAGAAATTGCTGTGTACATTATTTCGGTCATTGTCCACGCCATTCGGAATTTGGCTGATCCCAGATATATCCGGTCTCCGTCATTGAACATACAGCGTTGTAATACTTTCCTGGACTTCTGCAATATGACCACGAAGGGCATTTACATCTGAATAATGTTTGAAATTCCTCTTTGCACACTTCGTTCCACCAACATGTCCTCTGGAACAGCAAGCTAACAATTAGATAACTGCACTAAAGTTCGATACCACATTTTTTATTTCACCATCTTAACAAAATATCTAAAAATTACCTCTGTTATATATCCTTTTACAGATTGATCTGAATTGCTTCGTTTAGTGACAGATGCTGTCTCCAGCGTAATACTCAACATAATTATACACACAAACGTAACATATTGAGCCTGAAACGACAAAATGGTTACACTGTTGTCACAAATATTTGTCTTTCCAAACTCGCTTACAAAGAATTCTTGGAAATAGCCTCACCTTAATCATAGCAGATATTAAGTCATAAAATAGATATTTTTGCGGCCGACGTAACCTTTTCCATTTGACGCCCCCTGACGGAGCTTTTTAAACTCCCCCCTGTCAAGCTTGGGGTTGCAATGTTGTTTAATTTTCAAGTGTTGAAAGCATATTAATTAGAAAAATATGAGTATTTTCAAGATATTTATTTTTTGTTTCGGTATTCATTTAGCTATGGTTAAATCATACATGAAATTATTTTCCATCGTAAATGTATTGGTGCAAAGTTTATACAGAGTTTCTGCAATTAAAAATATTACTTAGCCTGGGGAGAAATCGTGGGGAATCAAAATAATAGCAAAAGTAATAATTCAATTATACTCGTAGTAACAGTGGAATTATGTTTCATCTTAGTTGTATAGAAAATATTTAATAAATAATACAAAACGCAGTAAATTTTATAAATTGATATATTTAATTTGACTTATTCAAAATTCACTAGCTATGTAGGACTTCTTTGATATTCCTATTATTTTAAATTGCATATTTTGTGAACAGTTAAGCTATCAGTAGGTTATAATTACTTATTTAAGTAAAAAATATAGCTAGGGCCCAAGCAATTCAAATAGAAGATGAAATATCAATTAGGTAAGTACTCTATCTGTGTGTGAGCACCATATTTCGAACGATATAAAGAATATTGTTATCGTTTAGATATAAAGGTTGGTTCTGTAGGTTCCATGCAAGCAAGCGGCTATAATATTTTTAATGGATCACTTCAAATATTGTTATTGGGCAATTAAGTGATTCAATAAATTTTCCGAATTATTTAAAACGTCGATTGCGGGTTGGTTATTTTCCCATGAATACAATGTGGATTGTGATTTTGCTGACCACTTTAGACATATGGAATTACTGAGAAATTTTATAATGTTTGGGACGAAGAAGAAAATTGAAAAATGAATAAATAAATAGCACCAGTTGACAGAATTGTAAAACTAACCATAGACATAGGGATGGCACTTAGAAGTAGTACAACATACAAATAAATAATTATTTTAATTTTACAAACAACTTTGGTCGGGCGCTACTTCTACATTTGGGTTTACTGGCACACGCGCGCACATGTGAAATCACTAGTATTAAATTAAACTACATCGCTCTCACTTCTTCTATAATATTTTGTTCAATATTTTGTTCTTGTAACCGGTGCAAATCTTCGGCTTCCTTCCTGCAAGGATACAGATGGTTATATACTTGAAAACAAGAACTACTACTACTATTACGGCTATTACTATTACTACTACAACGGCACTAAAAAGTATTCGGTACTCCTGATCAAAGCCGCATTGTTATTGGGCGGTTGAATAATTAAGAGTAGTATAGGTATTTAGATAAAGACTATAGTGTCGATTAAAATGTCTGCTGTAATGTACACAAAGAAAAAGTTCATAACAAAGTTATCATAATATCAGTTATAATATAATCTGCATTGCAACGTAGCATACCTTCAAATTCTTTAAACTAAATGGGGTTTCGAAGAAATTGATAATTATTATTAACAAACGAGCAAGCAATCTAATCACAATAAATTTGAACTATAATGAAATTGAAAAGCTCTATGACGCAAGTGATTAGAGCGTTGACTCGGTCTGCAATCGTGGAAATAAAGCAACATTCGCAAGGGCCGTGTATAGGATTGGTGAGCGAAAATTTACTAGATTGAGGTCCTCTGTAGTTCAAAAGGCGTACCAGATAGGATCTGGACATCTGCAATGTCAGAGTGAACAGGATCTTCTAGGCAAACGTGTACCATCTTAGGTCTCATCATCGCTTTCCATCAGGCGAGATTGTGGTCAAACGCATTGCCTATTATATATATGCATAAAAAAAATGCCGAATAAAGCCATTGGTCTCGGCTGCATCTACATTCCTTAGCACCCACTAAGCGGCACATCCATAGGGAAGGCATGCGCCCCAGCAGCGAAAATTATGAAATTAAAATTCTTACGTATACTTATTAGGGGATGGCTGGAAAATGCTTTTCGGACACAGCCTGAAGTAGGGCCAACATTCACCTCCTGCTTGGCTTCCTGCTCGTTCCGCTTCTACGTATTCTTCTAATAGATGTGCGTATGGAGATTTGCTAGGTCTAAAGTGAAAAGAAAAGCCTTTATAGGAAAAATACCAGAAAACTAATCAAAATCCCTGACTCCTAAAAATATAGGATTAACCTGGGTAACTATGAGCCTGTTTCTTAAATACAAAAATCAATTAAAACTGATACTTTACAGTAAGTTAACGTAACTCTACTAAATATTATGAATCAGGTTAATAAACTATCTAGATCCTTCATTTGATGGATTATAATGAACTGATTAATGTGATTTGTATTTTTATTAATTGCCAATTTTTATTATTGTAGCCAATATGTTTGCGGTAAGTAAACTGTAAATTTTGGTAGGCAAATCAAAATATTAGAGGTATCCGTTTTCCGTCCCCGTATTTATTTAAAAATCCCAATTGTTTTATTACTGGCCTCAAAATTATGGTTTACCTTTTTTGATTTCCAGACAGTGGCGGCGCTAGACCACATGTGGACGTCGGCGACATCAAGTTCGCGAGGCCTATTTTACTTCGCAGTAAAAAATCGTCAAATTAAGTGAGCCAAATTATAAAATAACGTATGAGTAAACGAGTTTTATTGTTGATTGTCAAATGATGACAAGAAAAAATTAAAAAATAGAAATTTAATTACAAAAATAGTGTTGCCAGACAGATGATTCTGAATACCCGTAAAGTACTACTCGCTTCCATCACGCACGTGTTCGAAATTAATAAAAGTCATTATCATCTGCTTCGCTTTTTCCCCGAATTATTCGGGGTCGGCTACCTTAGCCAGGCCAGGAGAAAGGAAAATAAATAGGTAACTTATAAAATTTTTTTGCGAGGCCTCCTCAGGCGCGAGGCCGTCGGCGGTGGCCGACGTCGCTGACGCCTAGCGCCGCCACTGTTTCCAGAGTATTCGTGCCACAAAGACAAATCAATTCAATGTGTAAATAAATTTCTTTATTTTTTTATGTATAATTTTTACTTACGTGAAGAACAGCTTCATGATTTCACCGATGAAACCAAAATTGTTAAGCGGATGCGCTTGCACCTCGCAGATTGCACGCAGTAGACACTCTTTTCCAGATAAGCCGAAATTGGCCAGCATATCTTCAGCAATGCCGTACAGCAGGGCTCTGGAACAACGATATTATTGTTTAGAGTTAGTACCTACTAATTTACTACTATATCAATGATCTGTTTGATTGATGATACATTTCTACATATGCTGCGTTATTAATAACTTTTAAACAAGAGCAACATTGTTTTAGTATGGAAAATATAAATTTTTAAATAGTTAAATACACAGAAACTTAAATTTGACAACAGTGTATCCTTGTCATTCTCTATACAGAGTGAAAACGAGAGACTGATCGATAGGGATCGATACCACTCTTAACATAAATATAAGACTGAGTAAACAGTACCTATTGTCGAAGTAGGAATTATTTATTATACCTACATTGATGCGACACAATATTTTTTACGAGCTTAAGAAAATCGTTTGTGAACCAAAGTTAATTTGAGGAACAACAAAAAAATTTGGGAAAAGACAAAATAACCTGTTGTTTCGAATTTAATGCGCAAAATTATATTGATTTTATGTAGGGTTTGATCATTTGGGTTTGTGTACCGCTTTCCCTCGAAATTTGCAAGGTATGTTTTAACAGACTCAAAATATTTGCATATTACAGTGTAAACCTGCTACCGTGAAGTACTAAAATAATGGCGCCTGTTTTCGAAACTGTCGATGAATTTAAAACGGCCACTGCAGCCACACTTCCTAAGGTAGTAGCCAACTGTGCCTCGTGTCTGGAATCCCTGATGATGTCTGGTTTAGGTGGGAGAGTGAAAGTAACAATCAATATGTCAACATTGCCATTATTGTTGACCACGTGGGTCTGTTAACCACATTCAATTGCTGAATATGTGTCAATGCATAAATGTGTGGGGTCGGTGTAAGCATTTGTCACTGGCCTTGTTTCGCGGAACCCGGTTTTTGGATGTCCTCGCATCTTGACATGTGTCGTCGTTGTTTTCTGATAACAATGGTTAACCATACGCTTTTCCTTATGTTAAAACAATATATTTCGAGAAAATGTACATCTTTCATATAAAGTAGGTACATTCTAGCTAATTAAGACAAAGGCAATAATTTTCAGAAGATATTTTAGGTACAAGAAAACAAAACATCGTTAATAATTTTAAATTGTAACGATTTTTATCAGATATCTATTGCATTAAGCTTGTGTTCACAGTTATGTTAGACGTTAATGTCACTGAAAATAGCATATTCTTATGCTGTGCTGCCGGCAATAAGCCACAAGGTCGCGGTAGACTAATCTGATAATTTTCCCGGAAAACGAAATGATGTTAAGCGAGCCTAATCTGATGGTCTATTCGCTAACTTTTTTGACATTTACAGTGTGTAACTAAAGAGAAAATTGTATAGCCATCGGTGCTTTTCAGAACAAGTACTTCAGTGGCGTTATGATGAAGTAGTAGTGGATCACTAAATCGCTCGGTGATTATCACTTCCATCTGTCAAAAGTAGTTAGCGAATAGGCTACTGATTGATACTTCAACTTCACTGTCGTAAATCAAAATTACAGTGAGTAGGTACAAACCTCTCTCCTCCATGCAACCTATCAAGAACTGCCGCTTCCACATCAGGATGTATATGGCCATCATCAGAGCGCTTGCCTCTCCTTCTATCCAAGTACTGGCCAACATAGTCTGTCATCATGGATAACGCTGCTTGACCCATGGAACGCGCCAATATAGGAGGGAATGATCCGTAAGGATTCTCATTGTCTGTGAGCCCTAGTTTATCGAAGTCAACTGTAAACACATTACAGGGATTTAGTACCAAGAGGTGTTTGCTATGATAATCATGTTGTGGTGTAATTAAAACCGACAACATTAAACCTTCTTTCAGTTTGATTTCAGCGACTTACTTAAAAGAATAATAAGGAATGCATCATTCAGCTGATAACATTTCCATTAAAGAAAACAGAAGTTAATCAATGAACAAGTAGCATATTCGGAAACTAGTGTGGATGGTCTGGCAAAGCTTGAACAAACCAAGCCAATTGTGATGTCATTAAAATATAACTCGAAGTAATATTCTTATTTTGGCTAATCCGGCAAAAGATCATGTCATGTCTTTAACATCGTCGTATTATGTTTGAACCATAGATATAGCATGTAAAGATAGAGTATCTATCGCAAGTGTTCAAAAAATTTAATTGTGCATGTGACGTGTCGTTGTTCGATTGTGAGTGATAATGTCGTTTTGTCAAGTTATGGTTAAAACACAGGATGCTATAGCACAAGCTGTTTTCTTAGTTTCACAGAATTTCATGATACATTTTATTACATTACGGCTTGACAGGACGATGTTGGCTCTTATTTTATTGGAACGAAGGTACATCATATTGCCTCTCTTTCTGCTTTGTAGGATTGTCGTATAAAAGAGCATGATGTCTTCTTTAAATACTAAGTCTATGGTTTGAACTAAAAGTTGATAGTTACTGATGGTTGGTAGTTACTACTTACAACTAAATACCTAATATCTAAGTGAGTTACATTATTATCTAACGATAGTTATAGTTAGAGCTAAATCCACTATTATTTACTAAATTTATTTAATAACTTTGAATCTTTTTAGCGCTAATATCAATGTTAAATAAATACAGTTAGACTACCAATATTTATAATACCTTTTCAATCTACATTGTTGAAATATTTACTACTACTCAATAAGACAATAAATTGATGTTATTATAGTTTTAGGATTATCTATAGAATCTACATAACATTTAAAGTACTGACTTTTGAAATCCATTTCGTATTTCAGTGTACCTGTAAATTATCATTCCACTTTATTTCCATTTCACCAAAATTATATTATTTCTCTAAATTCATTACAACAAAGGATTCTTTAGTTTATATTACTTCCTTGTTTATGTAAGACTAAAACTAATTAAGTCCCTATTTTAAAATTCATCGAATTTTAACCTCCTAACGTTAATTATCTTCGTTAAAAGCTAAAGCTTTTAAACTGAAGTTTGATGAATTAATTTACCTATTTTTATGTCCAGTGTCCATTATATTATGTAGGTATCTTAACTAATTGTTAGTTATAAAGGTCAATGTATGAAAGTTAATTTATAACGTTTTATGTCCCAATACTTTAGGATTCCCTTTAAATAGCTCCGCAATAACTTATGTATACTGACTTAAAATTGTTTTTTAATAACTGTGAGAAGCATTAAAACATTCGTCAGTGAGGCTTATTCTTAAAACTTAATTATTAACTGATGTATTCATAATTAAGATTTGATTTCTGACAGCCTCCGTGGCCAAGTGGTTTGTACGCCGGGTTTTATGGTGTCGCAGACACGAGAGGTCCCTGGTTCGAATCCGGGTGGGGGCAGATGTTTATGTGATGAATACGAGAATTTGTACTCCAGTCATGGTTTAATATGTATTTCAATATAAATATACTTATATATTTACTGTATATGTATTCTATCCGTTACCCTAGTATCCCATAACACAAGTCTTACAGTACTTACTTTGGGGCTAGGCTAATTGGTGTGAGTGTTGGAAATATTTATTTATTATTGTCATTATTTAGTTTATTTATTTCAATAAAAGTGGTAAGTAAATAATAACATACTTGTAAAAGGGAAGCTTATTGTCACATTGGACAAGAACCCTTTAGGTGGATGCCTAACGAACGGCATTGATAGCGACGGTGTGATGGCCATTGACGTGCCAGGTGGCAAGGCCAATCGTCCATCGTTCGTTATCCAAAGTATCCTTTTCTGTCTCGAATGAGGTATGTTCTCTTTCGCCAACTGGTCTTGCGAAGTCGCGATGGGTAGGAGTGCGGCCAGAGCTATGCTGAGCAGCACTCGAGGAACTGTCGCATCCATAGCCTACCTGAAAAGTTGTTACAGATGAATTTTTATAATTTTCAGACCAAAGATATTGAAATCTACTTAGAGATAGAGCAAAAAACGTAAGGAGCAGCTTATTCTAGTTTTGTTCGTATTCTTTTATGAATAATATGAAATCGTTTAAGCTTCGTTTTTAGCGTAGTTTGACAGAATCATATTGGATGTATTGGAATAATTATAACCTACTAACACATTTTCATCAGCCATAAGCCTTGCCTAATATAGTTATTTACGTGATTGCTACCATGTTCCTTGTTTTTTCTGGGAGCCTATCGCTTATCGGGATTACTATAGCTATAGCTTATGATTTCTATAGTTTGTACGTTGGATTTCAAGGTGTCGCCAACTCAAAAGGTCACGGGTTCGAATCCTTATGGGGGCAGATATTTGTGTGATGAATACGAGCATTTGTAATCCACTCCTGGATATACTTATACAGGTGTTTCTTTTAGGGTGTCAAACCAGTGCGAGCTGATAGCTGAGTAACAAACCTATCAATTTAACCCCCATGTATGTTCTACGATTTTTCGTAGTTTTCGAGTTAGATTTTTTTTTCGTATTTTTTTATGATTTAACGATGAGACAACTGAAAAAGTATAACTTTTTTTGGGTCGATTTTCTTCGTTTTTTTTAACAGAATGCCTATTATTTATAGTTTTATAAGTAAAATAACCTCCTTCCTAACTTCAACCTAAGATATAAAAATTTTGATCGATGCTAAATAAAAACGGATTAAGTAAAACAGAATAGATTTATAATTAAAATAAATAAAAAGCGAATAAATGTTCCATAATTTGTGACTAATTTTAAATACTGCCCGACTTTCATAAAAATATAAAAAAGGTGTACTAAATGGGGTATCATTTGCTGAAATCTGTCGTTAAAGGTGTTGTTGTTGAAACTCAATCGAGAGTCCTCTACGTATATTATCATCATCAGCCGATGGACGTCCACTGCTGGACATAGGCCTCCTCAAGGGATTTCCATATGGAACGATCCTGCGCTCTCCGCATCCAGTGGGTCCGCTTGATGTCGTCAGTCGTGAGGGGCTACCGACACTGCGCTTCCCGGTGCGAGGTCGCCATTGAAGCACCTTGGGACCCCAGCGTTTATCGGTTCACCGTGCTATGTGCCTCACCCATTGCCACTTCAGCTTGACGATCCGTTGAGCTATGTCGGTTGGTCTAGTTCTTCTACGGATTTCCTCATTTCTGATTCGATCACGTAGAGGCACACCGAGCATAGCTCTCTCTATCGCTCGCTGTGCGATTTGGAGCCTTCTTATGAGGCCCATAGTCAATGACCACGTCTCAGCTCCGTATGTCATCACTGGAAACACGCACTGTTCGAAGACCTTGGTCTTCAGGCACTGAGGTATTTCGGACGAGAAGACATAGGCCGAGTTGGATTCGGCGGTTTACTTCAATCCCGAAATTAGACTTGACTTGACTAGACTATTTGTGCCGTATGTACAACAACAATTTATATATATATATTATTTTTTTATAATAATATTATCAAAATATATAATATATATAACATGAATTGTTATTTGCGCATTTATAATAAGAAATCCTTTTTAAGTCGGTTAATAATAAATTATCAGGGAAAGTTAATTTAACTATAATCAGTACTGCCATATGAAAAGTTTTAATTTTTGCTACTGTGAGTCTACTGCAGACTTATCGTGGTCCGACTGTATACAAATTAAATCATACGTCAAAGAAGTTTGATATTGGTTTTATTATAGCAATGAATCGTGAAGTTACTATAAAGTTTGCCCAATACGCCATTACTCATATGCTAAGTATTAAAAAATTCACTTGTCATTTGTCTGTCATCATTATTGACAAATAGTATCTACTTACTGTTTTTATTTGCTAAATATTTCAAATTTCATATTACCAATGTAATGAATGATTTACAATCCAATCATATTAGAATAAGAGATGATAATTTATATGGAATCAATGTCGAACAATTCATAAAATCAATTGAAGCGAAATATAAGATCGACTTCAGATCTCTACCACAGTGGAAGGATCTTGTGAAACGTTTGCATGTTTCAACTTCCGATTGTAAGCGTAAAATTCAGGATGCAAATCTTCGTAAATTGCTTATTATAAATAAACTGTATACGCAGCTTATGAGGAATTCACCGTTTGAGTTAACAGAAAGATTGGCAAGAACCCATAAAAAATGGCAAGTCATCAGTGGTCATAAAAGATCTAAATCAAAGCTACAATCCGATCTTGAATTGCAAGATTCTTTGAAATATGAAGAGGCATTAAATGAAATCACAGAGACATCTTTAACGATGCATCCGAATACTGAGGTCATGGAAGCTGAAGTTGGCAGTAATGAAGTACCTTTCATATCGACCGTAGAGTCTGAAACGAAAATTACTGACCCTTTATTTTACTTACCTGCTAATATTTGTATCAATCATCATAAGTATCTTTCACCTTTAAACTCGAGAGACCTTAGTCTCAAAGCCAACATAATTTCTTTAAAGGGAAAAAGCAGTCCGGAAATAAATTCAAAATCTTGCATGACGATAAATAACGCTTCATTGAAAAGTAGTCCAAAAGAAATATTAATTGTCAAAAAGACACTTTCAGAACAGACGACTAAATTCTCTATAATTAACTGTACGACAGAATATCTATTTATAAGATTCCTAGATGTAATGGATAAATCTCCTTTTAAAAAAATTAAAATTATCCCTTCCACACAGCAAAAAATATATCCTGGAATTGCATTGACATTTAGATTAATTTACCAACTTGACAATTATGAGGAAATTACATCTGGAATCTTTTTTAAGTTTGGTAAAAACGTTTTGGATGTTGAAGTGTTTAAGATACCAATTATGAGTAAATTCCAATTAGACAGACAGATTTTAGTAACTGAATCAATATATTTTTCTCCAGTTTATATGTGGCAAATCCGTCAAGATACAGGATTTCCGTCAGTACAGGTCCACGTATCAGTCACTGATGACTATAGTTACCATTTACATATTAGGAAATGGGCTATAGATATAACACATGAATTTCAAGATAGTTCTGCATCTATGGAAGTAATTAGCGTTGATACAGAAAGCTTCGCTGAAAGAATAGAAGATGAAGACTTTGTGGCTCACAGTAAAACGCTTGTTCCACAAACAGAAGAATTTATGGAGGAGGTTATCACATCTATAAATATAATCCAATTGATTATAGAAGATATAATAGATCTCGCACTAGATATTTTTCTATTTAATCATACTTATATGTATTTGAAACCTAAATCAGAAAAGAAGATATCTTTGTACTTTACAAAACCAGTTTGCATCGGAAGTCATCATTGCTACTACAACTTTAATTTTTATGATACAATAACTAATGAGATAATATCAACAAGACAAGTTAAAGTATTTGCTGAAGTTCTGCCTCATCCTATACAAATATACCCTGCCATATTAGATATGTCTTTATCCCCAGTGGCTCATGGATTTTACGAAGATAACATATTAATCACAAACTCGCATAAATCATATCCAGTCACAATAAAGATTCAACTTACTACGAAAATGAAACAACTTTTCCGAGTATGTCCAATGAAAACATTCATTCCAGCTTTATCAAGTGCGAAACTAGCTATCAAACTTTGTTCCAATGAAACATACTATTGCAACGCAATAGAAGATATGGCGTATTTTATCTTTAAAATTATTATAATTGGAGACAAAGCCGTATATAAAAATGTGCCACCGTTTTTTTACGAACTGATCGCCCCTTGTGCTTCTATTTTTAAAAAGGTTTACAATGAAAAATACTTTTCGGATACTCAAGAGCCAAAATTTGATAAAACTTTTTCATAAGTTATTTTTGAAATACATTTATGGTGAGTTTGAAAGTTAGTTATTTTGTCTTATCAGAAACACTTTCACGGCTAATGCGTGGTGGTTGAATTAAAAAAATAATTGATTCAGCCTTAATATGTAAAGCTAATAGGGAATGCAGCCGGCTGTGTAAGGCAAGGATAAAACCAGCTGACCGACTTTAAAAGTATTACGGGTCAACAAGTTGATTGCCTGAACCCGCATAATATCCCAGACCAGATACACAGGTCATGCAGGCACCGGTTCCATGCGACACTCGATTGTAAATCATGCGCAAGTTTTATTGGATCGATTGTGAGGTATTGATGTTACATAGATATAAATTGTACAAAGAGCCACAAGTCGATTTACCCAAAACTGACAAATTTCGCCTACTTGCTTTGGGCTTTATATTTCCTTCACAATTGATAGAGAAAATGAATCATTTTGTTTTAACTGGATGTGTTGTCCATATCAAATTGTAGCCGGTAATGTGGCCTTTTCTGTGCGTTATAGGGACTAGCTGAGTTTCTAAAACACGATATTTTTAGAGTTCCGTAGCCAAATGGCAAAAAACGGAACCCTTATAGATTCGTCATGTCCGTCCGTCTGTCCGTCCGTATGTAACAGTCACTTTTTTCCGAAACTATAAGAACTATACTGCTGAAACTTGGTAAGTAGATGTATTCTGTGACAATTGGTTGGAACGAGATCTAGTAAGAAGTTTTTTAATACGTCATAAATCGTAAATCGCTATTTACCTTTCATTCAATTAATTCAAATATAAAAAAAATAAAAAAAAACATTTAATTTCATAAACATAAACGTTATGCAAAAACCGTGAACCATTATTTTCTAATAATAAATCTGTAATGGTGGTAATGTCTGAATGGGGTGGCTTGATCGGTAGCGGGTGCAGAGCGCGCTGGGGGCAGGTTTTATATTATGTTACTTGCTGCTACGGAACCCTTCATGGGCGTGTTCGACTCGCACTTGGCCGCTCTTTTGCTAATACATATTATTATTAAATAGTGACCCTTAGTGGCCTTCGCTTTGCTTCGTTATATATGGGGGTGTCCCACGGCCATTGCCACCCGGAGGGAAAATATATTAAATATTGAAGATATGATATTTTACTGGAAGAAGACATCATTTTATTTTTGATAATAAGTAGAACTGCATTCACAGTTTTTTAAAAAACATCCGGAAATGAAACTTAAAATGCGAAAACAACACATGACACAAAATGCTATGTTATTTAAAAAAATAATCCTTATGATTAACGCTTTTGACGGCTATCATAATATACATGTGTTTATGTTTCACATTTCACGACTTTGATTGCCGGTTGCGGCAGACGATTTTTATAAAATCTGTGAATGTAGTTCTACTTATTATTAAAAATAAAATGTTGTCTTCTTTCAGTAAAATCCTAAGCCTTTCTTCAACAGTTAATATACTTTCCCTCCGTGTGGCATGACGGTAGTTGGATGGCCTGTATACTACAGTTTTTGCTCTCGGGCATTCATACATTATAAACCTTACGTGAAAAATTATCCAACTTATATTGAAAACCGCTCGAAATTCAGTTCTGAAATTTTTGATATCGATTTAGGTACATCGAGACACGTGCATGGCCATAAACGTTAAATGCATGTTAAAATTAGTGTCTATCTTTTTGTGGTATTGCACATTAATTTAGGTTAAACTAACTTTAGTTTAAGTGTTAATCTTATAGCGAATTGACTAATCTATCTATTGGCATCGTAAACCCACTTGGCATTCTTCAAGCGGATGTCGGTTCTTAACTTCAGTATGTCACGCGAGAATCGATAAAGTGTCATTTGATTTTGGAGTAACATCACGGTATTGATTTGTATGCTTTTAACGCAGACTTTCCTTTCACATTGCAAAAACCAAACCAAAGTGGACTGCCAAATTAAATCGCTCTTCAATTATTTGGTTTTGTGCATTTGATAAAAGAATTTGCGTAAAACATGCAACATGTAAAAACATAATTCTTACACCAAATAAATTTGAAGGATAGCATACCTTTATTTCTTATTGTTCGGTAACAATAGTGACTTGTTTCCCCATCTCTTATTTATTTATTTACTAAGTAAGTACACACAATAAAACAGATAAGAACAGGACAAGAAATTTGTACAAGGGCACTGCTTTTTTCATGTTGAAATTTCTTCCAGCAGGCCCGCGAAAGGAAAAAACATAAAATAAAAGGTAAAAATCACAAAATACAATACTTACATAAACAAAACCTACATATATATCTATATAGACGTACTAATAAACATATATACTAAAATAAAATATACAAGTCTTACTTTCTCAAATGTAATTTGGTGGACTTTGAATCCACCTAGTAAATATAAAAATACTTATGCAGATTTTATTAAGATGTAAATAGGACAAAAATATAAGTAAATTTTTACTTAACAAATTTTTAAATACTTTCTCATACTTTTGAAGTGAATCATTTAAAAGCGGAGACGGTTTAAAATCCTTTTAAAATTCAATGTTAAAATATCATAATCTCGACAAACTTAAATGCAAAGAGTAAACAATGGCTTAGTCCGACAAATAAAGATATTTCAAAATGTAGATTTATGATTTTCCCACTATTTACTTTTGTTGTTTGTGTCTATTACCTTTGTAAGCTTAACTTCTGATATCAGTTATAATAAAACGAGGCGTTTTTCTTAATAGATACCTTTACTTCTATGGTAAAAAGCTTAAAATACCAATTTTGAAATGATGAACTTTAAACTTCCCAAAGTTCGAAATCAAATTCGTTCAAAATCATTCTCGATTTCAGTTCTACTTCCGTGTTGATATAATATTTACACTTTTTCATATCTCACAGCTTCGGGGTCGGGAGGTCGTGACAAAACGCGCCGTAAGTTGAAACAATAACACATTCGGCTGAGATGAAATGGCGCGATGTGCGTGCGCACTGAAATTCGCGCGTTCTCGATTACGCGCCAGACGCGATCATGATCCAGATGTTGTTTGGGTCAGAAACATTTGCGATTCCAAATGGTTTTTCTGTTTAAAACAATGTGCTTGGACGCCAATAAAATATAGAAGTTTTTATAGTTTGAATGCCAATGTAATATAAATAATTTTATGCCAACAAGTGTATTAGTATCTACATATGTATTCCAGAAAAAACTAACAATTTTAAAATATGATACGTGAGTTGTCGTAAGTTATTCAAATAGATAAAAACGACGAAATATTGCTGGAAAGAGTTTTTAGTTTACGAACATTATAGATCTTAATCTAGGGTTTTCCCTTGAAAAGTAATACTGTATGGATGATATTAAAAAACAACATATTCTGATTTCAATGTTAAAGGCAAATTAACACTCAATATCAATTTCGTTTGTTTTATATCGGTTCTAGTTTGTCCCTAGCTAGCTGTAGTGTTATGTCGCTTGCTATGCAAAAGACTTCAACGCGCTCTTTACCTTATTATGTATGGTGCCAATAAAACAGCATTTTTTTCTAAATACACAATGTTTTCTTCAATATTATTAGAAGGAAATTTATACTTATTAATTGTTTGAATTTTCGATCGACATTTAGTTTTTGTTATATAGGGAACAGGGGGCTGATTGTCAACTTTTATCTTTTTCGAAGCTTTAGAAATGACAATGTTACTTAAAACATCTCTTTCGCGAAATTTTATACAATTTGGACCCTGTTTTAGGGTTCTAAGATAACCATAACCAAAACCATTTCGAAATTTAATAAAAACACTCTCAATAAGTCATGAATAATTCCTCAATGAAAAATCATTTTCAGCGCTCAAATAACGCATAAGAGTGCAGTGGATTACGGAGCTATACAGCCAAAATGCTATTCAAATTAAATGCTACTCATACGTTTACTATTTGCGCTTCGTGATGGGCAACCGCGGAATTACATTTTATTAATAAACTAGTGGCCCGCCCTCGCTTCGCTTCGGTGTAGAGCTGTAAACTATAGTTTTTGTTCTCAGGCTTGTGCTATAAAGAATGACTTTATTTATATAATTACACGTGTTATTGTGAGTCAACCATAAAAGATAGACATATGCTGTTGCGGGATATTTTTTAGACAATTTTATGTAAAATATTTCCGTCATACATGATTTCTATGTAACTTTAACCATAAAGGCTGCACCCGCGACGGAAGCTTAAAAAATGGAGTAACTTCTCCCGTTTTCCCAACATTTCCCTTCACTACTCTGCTGCTATTGATTGTAGCGTGATGAAAAGTATACTATAACCTGCCCAGGAGTATGAAGAATAATTGTACCAAGTTTCGTTAAAATCCGTTGAGTAGTTTTTGTTTCTATAAGGAACATACACACAGACAGACAGACAGACAGACAAAAATTTTACTGATTGCATTTTTTGCATCAGTATCGATCACTAATCACCTCCTGATAGTTATTTTAAAAATATATTTCATGTACAGAATTGACATCTCTACAGATTTATTATAAGTATAGATATTTCTATCACTCACACCAATTAGCCTAGCCCCAAAGCAAAGCAATGTAAGGCTTCTGCTATAGGATACAAAGCTAACGAATAGAATACATATACTGATACATATAACTATATAGGTATGTTAATCTAGAAAAAAATAGTTACAATCATGACTAAGGTGTAAATGCTCGTATTCGTCCTTCGATTGATCTAAGTATTCATAATACAAACATTTGCCCTACCAGGATTCGAACCCGCGACCTCTTAGTAGGCGACACTTGAAACCCGGAGGACATACCACTTACAATATGGAGGTCGTCGCATTGCGAGTGGGCCGACACGCACTTGACCGGTTTTTTGTTATTTGGAAAAATACTCTTGCCGGAAACATAATGATAAAAATAGAACAAGCCACTTATCTACGCAAACTACTGTCTATTTTTGTAGGATCTACTGTGTTAAGTAACTAATTATAATACGGAATAACACTAAAGCTATATTATTTGTATCTCTTACATTTCATTGGGGCATGAAAACTGAAACAGATAGATTTTTCCTGGTAATATATTTTTTACACTTAGTATAGTACGCAATTAAATGTTTTTCGACACAAAAATCTCGCAATATAATGTTTAATTACCAGAAAAAGAATGTGTGATTTAACGAGAATGGAAAAATGGACGATTAAAAGTCTTCCTGATGAAAAAATAAATAATATTAATAAATATTTATATCACACACCAATAAGCCTAGCCCCCAGTAAGCATAGCAAGGCTAGTGTTATGGGATACTAGGGTATCGGATACACATAGGTTTAAGTTTATTTATCTAGAAATATGTATATAAACACCCATGACTTAGGTACAAATGCTTGTATTCATCATACTAACATTTACCCAACCGGCATTCTAACCTGGGACCTCTGGGTAGGCGGAGGTCGCGCAAGACGAAGGTCAATGAAAACACATAAACGAGTCTGACTCGCACACTAGTACCATCGTACAAGTTTAACAACATTTGTAATATTTGCAACTACAATGATAGTGGATGTAGCTATTACGGCTGTCGCGCCACGACAACCATCGACAACCACTATAACACCACCACGAGGATCGCCTTTTTGCTGTAGTATAAACACAAGTACACATTCTGCAAAAAAAAAAAACTATTTTGGTTCATGCTAACAGCGGCTTAGTAAAAGAGATTCGTGGTTACAGTTCGACCGTGTACGGATTTCGAAAATAACAAATTTCAAGATTTCAGTCGCAGGTTAGTAACTAGAGTTCATGACCACCTCTGTAGTAACCTCGCAATTATGGAACTAACTACTAATGCATATTCTAGAAAATCAATTGCTACTTTATATTCTAAGTTCATATACGAGTAGGTTTATCGACAAACCAACATTCTACAATCTTATTAATATCAGTATAAAATTACTATTTTGCAATACTGAATCGTATTCGCCATTTTCAAACCACCGTACCATTTTCTTATTATAAAGTTTTCCCATTGTCTTTCTACCCAACATGTTCGATTGTAAAATTAGGACAAGTCAAAGTCCACCTAACCACAAATAGTATAACTCGGAGAAACCTAATAGAAAACGTTTATAATATATTTATATTTCTTTCGATGTTGTAGGAAGCTTTCAGTAGTTTGGAAACTATTAAGTGTGAAATTTATACGAACCGGAAATTCTAGAACTTTGGGAGCGAAGTCACAGGCGAAGAAATATGATTCGTTTTTGTTTAAAATTAAACTTAAATGTATAATTATAACATTAGTAAACTTTTCCGGCTTCGCAAGGTAATTGATGAAAGTTAAGATTTGTTTACAAGACATCATTTTGATTTTCGAATTTTTGGCGATTTCTAACGGATTTTCCAAAAAACCCTATCGTTGGTCGCTTGTCTTTGCAGGGTGGAATAAAATACAGTGGTTGTTGGAAAGAGCCCTTAATATTGATGCTGACAAATTTTACTGAAAGATAACATTCCTTTATTTTCTAAAATAATTATAGTTGCAATTAAATATTTTTGAAAAATCACCTGCATTGATACGGAAGTGGAACCGGTGATATGTGAAAAAAATGAGTTTTTTATGATACCAACTGAAAGAGTCCTTCATAAGGATCAATTTATTTTGAACAACATAGTATCTTCGATTAAAGAAAGACTAAGAAAAAAATTTTTTTTTTGTGAAGCTTACTTATTATCACATGAAAATAGTTCACTTAACTTTTGAATTGTTCAAATTGAGCCCCATTTTTGTTTGCATGACATTTTTCGAAAACTTCTGAATTTAATTATATTTTTGAAAACTACAAAAACTAAAATATAAACTACATTAAAACATTTCTGGTGGAATTGAAATCCCACCAGAAATATTTGCTTCATTAGTAAATTGCACCTACACAAATCCAGGCTCTCTTCTGCAGCACAAACACATTTTCAATGTCCGCCGCTGAGCTCCATAAAATATACGTCTTGCCGTTATATTTTTATTTTTTTAAGCATTTAACTGTTAGATGTCTAAATCTAAGAAAAATACTAGAAAAAAAACTACACGAACCAGGCAGCAGACGGGACTGAGCAAAGGGTTCGGCTGCTTTTGCGGTGAGAAAGATAAGACAGTTAACTGATATTGAAACAGCAAGACTAAAGAAAATTTACTAGAAAAAAAATCCATGCTGACCATGCAGCAGACGGGACTTATCGAAGAGTGGGGTTCGAGTAACCGTTCTGTCGTTTTGTTTTCTATATCAGTTAACTGTCTTATCTTTCTCACCACAAAGATAGCCGAACTGAGCCTCGCTGACAAGGTTTCAATATGTAGAGCCCACAGAAAATTTGAATCTAGTGCTTCCCAGGAATGTTGTAGAATTTGTGTTATCCAATGGTTTATTCTTTAGTATAAATTGTATTGGCTGACTTTAGGTAAAGTTAATTTAATGCATTTCGCTTTGTTTGCATTCAAAAATAAGTTGGATCTCTAGTACCTACTTCACAATAAACTTAATTAAACGAATTTGTGTTATTCAATAATATCTGATTTAATTACTGACAGACTCCATTAAAATATGCTGGATTCCTCAATAATTATCAATACCAATTAGTGTGATTGATATCATTTATTCTTTAAAACAAAGCAATATTTTTTGTTACTTTACAATGTTTCGTGCATTTTCTTTGATTTAGCTGAAGAATAAATTATGATTAAAATCATTACGATAATCCATTTCAAAACATGCAGTCAGCCTAATGTGAAATGGACAAATCAAAATGCAATCGTTTTTTGTCTTCTGTTTATCCCGTAACCCCTGTCATCCCGTTTTAATCTACTAACGCACTTGGTTGGCAAATACTAACAATATGCTGCATTGGGAACGAAAGAAAAATTGCATAGGAAAATTTTGACGACCTCCGTGGCTGAGTGGTTTGTACGCCGGATTTCATGGTGTCGCCGACTCGAGAGGTCCCAAATTCAAATCCCGGTGGGGGCAGATGTTTGTGTGATGAATACGAGCATTTTTATATTCCAGTCATGGA